TGCCCAGGCGGGTCACAAACCCGCGGACTCAGGCAATCCACTCACCTCAGCCTCCCAAAGTGCGGGATTACAGGCTGAGCCACGGAGCCCGGCTAGATGAAACTTTTTACAGATGAGGATTCTATGGTCCAGAGTGGCTACACCTTGCCAGGTTATAGCCAGCGAGAGGCAAAGCCAAGACTGAAGCCAATGCTTTGTCATCCATCCTTCAATTTGGCTCCGAGAAAGGGGGGGCCGTTAGCCTGCCCTCAGGCCCCCGTTACTAGACTCTGTGACTGCCACATTAAACCCCTCCCAACACAGCCTCCGTGCCCTCCCCCCTGCCCCCATCATCTCTCACTGCCTGCTTTCTCCCTAGGGAAGGAAGCCTTAACTCAAGAATTCAGAGCAGAAAGGGCCTTCGGAGACCATCAATCCTGCCATCTGCTGTCCTATCCCATTAAGACAACTGGCTGGAACCCCAAGAAGCACCATTTGGCTCTGCACTTACTGCTTAGCAATCAAGACAGCCTACAGAGAATGATGGCTCTAAAAGCACAGGACTGGAGAGCGACAGATTCAGCCTGGGCCAACACTCTGGCCTCTCAGCTCTGGAGCTCACAACACTGAGTGAGCTGCCTTCCTGACACACTTGTCCCAGTCCCCACTGCAAACACAGGCCACAGTCATCACGATGGAACCGAGATAAACCCTTTTATTTATTTATGCTTCTCCATTTTGTTTAAAACAACAACAACAACCACCTTAATATAACTGACAGCCCTTCCCCCTCACCCTTCCTTGGGCTCGGGGGTGGTAATGGGGAAGCGACCCCCAAGGATGGGGCTGACCGTAAGAGCCCCTCAGGGAGGTAATGGAGCCCAAGTCCCCTACCTAGGGGAAGGGGCACCTGTAGTGTATGAACTGGGGGTTTAACAGGGCTCTTGAACTGCTGCCTGTACCATCATATATGCCCTTGGCCAACAAGGGTCAGGAACCACGAGGGAGGGGATTTCTACCTCTCCTCTATGTCCCTACCCAGCCCAATCTCTCAAATCCAGGGCTGGGGAGCAAAGAGTGGAAAAAGGTGGGGTCAGGTGTCTCACACGAAGGAGTACTGATTATTAATAGCTCTGGGATGGCCCCCTTCTTCTCCGTCGCCCCCTAGTGGTAACTGCTGGAGTTGCACCATCGGGGTCACCCCAGTGTCCCCACCAGATCCAGCGCTTCCCTGGATCTCCGTGCCTGGTGCTATGGCCTCTTCCAATTCAACCATGGGGACCAGCTCAACCACGGGGACCAGCTCTTCCTGGACCCCTCCACTGCCCGCTTTCTCTTTCTCTTGCCTCTCTTTGGCTGCTGCGGCTGTTGCTGCCGCCACTTCTGGCGCCCCCGACGCCTCTTCTGCCCCAGGATGTGGGGGATCTGTCCACGAAGGGGGTTCAGGGGGCTGGGGTGGGTCATGGGAGGTGTTCGATTCTGGATAGGAATGGCAAGAAAACAGACTGATTGTGGAGGGAGGCAAGCTCTTGCAGCGGCCTCCCCTTCACTCGTCCCCCCAGGAGCCGTGACTATCTCCCCCATCCCGTCTCCTGAGCAGCCCCCCTCCATGGAAGATGGATCATGGGCGGCGGTGAGAGGAGGACCACACTTACACACAGTCACTCGCTCCGAAGGGCATGAGGGTGGAGGAGGCATCGGGGTAGCATCCATCTCCCTCGCACACCCCTGCATGGCTCCCGGCCTGCTCCCGGCCTGGGGGGGGGGCAACGTGGGGACAGATGGGACGGTGGGGTTGGGGAAAGGGAGAGATCAGACAGGGACATCAGACATCAAGGGAGGAGGGACGGGGATCAGACTGAGCATCCCCAGGAAGGGCAGGCCCAAGGCAAGACTGTGACAAAGGGCAAAGACAAGGCCAGGGAGGATGGATCCGGGAGACACACAGATAATGGAACAGAGGAGTCTGATGGAATGGGAATGCGCCAGCCCAACTCTCAGCTGCCTCCCCGGCTCCAGCCAGGAGCCCTGTCTTCCTGTGTCCTATCGGCGTGTTTCCTTCCCTTCCAAACCCCCGTACAGGAACCTTCTCTACCCTGCTCTCCCAAGCAAAACCTCTCCTCACAGCCCCCCGCCCCGTCTTTCTGGCACACACACCTCACTTCTTGGGTGCACGGGCACCTCCTCCCCTGCAGACCTGCTCTGCTCACCCTGCTGTCGCTGGGAGGATGGGACATAGCTGACAAGGACAACATCACTGGAGCCTCCAGACTCCAGAGGGATGGGGTGCACCCGGAAATGCTCGAGCATATCGAAAATGGACTGGAACCACAGGTGCTGGACCCGGCACTGACCCTCCTCGTTCAGCGACAAACGCAGGTGCTAAAGGCAGAATGAGCAAGGTGAGGCAAGACCTGAGCCCCTGCCAGTTACAAAACCCTCCTCCCCTAGAGTGTTTCCCCACTCCACCCACAAACTCTGTACAGAACGGGCTCACTCACCTTGGCCTTGCCCTGGAAGTTAAAAGTGAGGACGTATTCACCCCGCCTTGTTTCACTCTGACGTACCAGGAACACACCGTGGGAGCTGGTGCCTCCTGTCAGCACTAACTGAGCAGCCTTGAGTCGAGAGAGCATGCCATGGAACCAAGGATATCCTGAGAGGGGCTGGTCCCCCTCACCTCCCTCTGACTCCCCCTGGAACAGGAATGACCCTTCAGGAAGGAGAGAGGGAGGAAACCAGGGTGTCAGGGAGGCCTCCTCGATCCTAGGAGAACAAAGCCTTGCTCTCCCCGGAGGCGCCTCCTCCCCTCCGGGTCATCTCTCTCCCCTCGGTCAGATCCCTCAGGATTCCAGGACAGGCACTTTGCGGGGGGAGGAGACACACACACACTCACACCTCTGGTACCTGTGGCTGTTTCCGGAGTGTCCAGGGGTGGGTAGGGGGCCGAGAGGGGATGAACTGTCCCTGCCGGGGGTCCCTCCTCAATGGGAATGCGGGGGGGCAACTCTGGGGGAAGCAGTTCCATTGAGTCAAAATGGGAGGCTGCGATGGAGGCTGAACTGGGGGAGATGGATGCCGAGGGGCGGTCTGAGAGGCCCCCATAAGCACCTGGGAAAAAGCGGGGAGAGCAGAGTTAAATACTCAAGAAGCTCCACTTCCGAAACACTGGTCCTGGGCCCATTCCTCACCAGAAATCTACCCCATGTGCACTGGCAGAGCAGCTGGCCAAAATGCCGGACACCTCTACAGGTGGTGACGCCAAGAGATTTTACCAATGGCTCCTAACTTATGCTTCCTGCACTGCTGAAGGACTGCACTTACTACAAGGAGGTCCCAGAATCCAAACGTGCTTCTATCTTTTCTGAATCAGCTGAAAGATTGTTCCAGAGGTGAGAGGTAGAATGCCTTAAATATATATACGTATAAGTGTAACAGATATATATTGTTGTTGTTGTTTTAGAGACAGGGTCTCACCATGTTGCTCAGGCTGGTCTCCAACTCCTGGCCTCAAGCGAGTCTCCCACCTCAGCCTCCCAAAGCACTGGGATTAAAGGCAAGAACCATGATGCCCAGCTGCCTCCAGTATTTTGTCATTAAAAAGGAGTCCTTTTTTGGACCACAGGACAAAACCCCCAACTCTGAGAGACATCAAGATCCTCCTCCTATTAATCCCCCCGACCTACACCAACTTGATCTCTACTTTACTCATATTCACATATCCTCTACTGTAGCCCAATTCCTCCATCCAACTTGCCCACATTCCTGGGCCCTCCCACCTCAGACCTCTGCTCTCACCATTCACCTCCTTCAAGCCGTGTTCTTTTCTCTCACCTCCTCTGCGTAGTAGTCCCTGTCTCTTCCACCTTCCCCTGTTCTCTTCCTCCTCTGAGCTCCCAAGGCGCTTCCTGCTTGTGCTGCTCAGGGGACACTAAGCATAGACTCTCCGTTTGGGGACCTGCTTTTTATAGGGAGTGATGTCAACCTAGCAAGACTGGGAGCCCATGGAGGGCAAGGAGCTCATCTCAGGCATCTCTGAGTTTCCCCATCCTGCCCCAGGACACAGTACAGGGACAGGTATGTACTAGGGCCTTCCTCAATGTCTGTCAAGTGGCAGGCCTGAGGCTACATGAATGTCATAGGTCGCTGGTGCTCAGAAGACAGGCATAAGTGGAACACAGAGAACAGTGACTCAGGAATCACACTGGTGCAGCCCTGTCTCTGCTGGTGACTCTCAGAAAAGCCACTTCCTCTCCCTGGTCTTGGCTGCCTGAGATCTGATGACTTGTATGGTCCATTCTAGCTCTGGCGCTAAGATTCTAGTTGTCGTTTGTTCATTCACTGAATACAAGCTGGGTAGGCACTGTGCTGCTAAAACTCAGAACGGAAGGTCCAGTGGAAGCCGAGTCTGGAAAGGCGAGGTGGGACCAGGTGACATAAGCCTTTGTGTATGTATGTGGGTATGTGTGTTTGGCCAGACCAAAAAGTACAAAAAAGGACCAAAAAGAAAACGTGGTGCCACTGAAATATGCATAGAGACACAGAGTGAGGCAAAACAAAGATTTCTACAGTGTTCTGGAAGCTTGGAGAAGAGAACCATTATCTCTAGTCAGAGTGGCAGCCTGCAGGAGACTTATGGAAAAAATGGTAAGGTTGGGTGAAGGCTGGATAGGAGTTTGCTTGGGGTCTGTATGGGGTGATCACAGTGATGGTTCTAAACTGTGACTTGAGAGCACTTGGCACGTCCAGGGACAAAAGACAAACGTATGGTGGACTGTGGGGAGGGAAGCTGGGGAACAGATTGGGATGTGCAGCTAAGTCTGGGGAGGGGGCATGGGGTCTCACATGGCAGGTTCTGAGGCTCACAGCTCTCTAAGGCTCTACCCTTACCCTGGGACAGGCGGTCATTGCTCTCGCTGGGTCCCAGCAGCAGATCCTGGCTGGGCAGACTCTCTGAGTGATTCAGGCAGGACAGCTCCAGGCTGTCTGTGTTCTCTCTTGTAAGGAATGAGGTCCCAGGGGCCAGAGGGAGGGTCATGGGGCGGGGACTGGTAGCAGGGCAGGGTCTGCAGAGACATGGAAAAGGTGCTGGGAGGAAAGTCACCATGTGAGAGGCGCAAGGCTGCTCCCTACCCTCCACCCCCAGGTCCCCTCAGGGACAGAAGTCAGGCTCCTCACCCTGGGCTCAGGCATTCTTGGATGTCAGACACCCAAGCCTTCACATGTTGAGCATCAGCTGTCTCCAGAATATACTCTGAGGGGCCTTCCACCTAGAGACAAGAGAAGGGTCTCAGTCAGGGCAAGGGTCAGGGAGGAAGCTAAATCCACCCTGCAACAAGACATGTAGGTTCCTCAGTCTGTAATCCCAGCACTTTGGAAGGCCGAGGCAAGTGGATTGTCTGAGCCTGCGGGTTTGAGACTAGCCTAGGCAACTTGGTGAAACCTCATCTCTACAATAAATAAAAAATTAGCTGGGCACGGTAGCGTATGCCTGTAGTTCCGGCTGCTTGGAAGGCTGAGGCAGAAGGATCGCCGGAGCCCAGCAGATTGACACCGGGGTGGCCGTGAGCATGCCACTGCACTCCATCCTGGGCAATGGAGTGAGAAGCCAGCTCAAAAAAGAAAAAAAAAGCATTTAAACTCCCTGTGGAGTGGAGGCAGTTTCTGAGAACAAGAATGTCTCCCTCTTTACTCCTCTCCCAAAAAAGCTACCCCAGGGAGACACTCTCAAGGCACTGGACATATACATGCCTCCTGTCAGTGTGACTTGCTGAAATGTGCTTTGAACTTTCTCCTCTACACAACTCTCCAAGGGGGTGGGGAGCTCAGAGCTCCTACCTTAACCACAAATGTGTTCTCCCGGTCAGGCATCTCCAGGGCTGTGGTTGTCCGGACATCCGTGATAGCAGAGCAAGGAATGCTGAGTCGGGGGCGAGATGCCTAGGTTGAGAGAGAGAACAAGATCCAGGTTTTTGGTGTGTAGATACCACCTTTCCCTTCCCTCCAGACATTCATGTTTCCTTCTGCATCCCAGGGGAGTTAGACTAAGTAACACTGCTTTCTCAGTTCTGCCCACAGGTACTAACACAGAGCCAGGAGTCAGCTTTGTTAAAAAGTGATGCTGTGTATGTGGGCTGGTAAACCCATGACTTATCTGCAGAGCTGAGTTACCATTCTGGCTGCTCTACCACTCGTTCCCAGTCACCCGCCCTCCTCTGGGCCTCACCTTGGGTGGTACAAAGAACTCCAGACGACTTCCTCCTCCTCCTTCTCCTTCACTCCGAAGCAGTAGGCGACACTTCTGCCACTGAGGCTGCGCTCCGCCCCCTGAGGTAGGCCCAGCTGACCCTCCTCCCCGGCCCATCGCAGCTGGGTCAGGGGCTGCCTCTTCAGCCCCCATGAAACTCAGCAGCTCTTCCCTCTGCACCATCCCTGCTCCATCCTTCAAGGTCCCCCCTCCCCGACTGAGTCTCAGCCTCTCAAAACGGTGAGTCCATCTCTCCCCAGGGGACGGTCCATCACTAACCAGTCCCCTACCAATGGTCCCTGCCCCACCAGAAGAGTTGGAGTTGCTGTTTCCACCTAAGACTGGGGGGCCTGACGAGGTCTCCAGGGGCCCAGCTGGAGAGGGAGGGTCAACGGCTCCCCGCCACTGCAGGATGCCACGGACTGAGCCTCGGACGGAGCGACCCACTGAGCGCAAGGAGAAGCGTTTCTTTAGCTTCGGCTTCGAGGAGGTCGTAGAAGAGGAAGAGACTGAGGAAGGGAGGGGGCCGGCCAGGTCCTCAGATGATCTAGAAGGGCCCAGCACAGCCAGGGGCCCGCCCACCCTGCAGCTCTCAAGGGACAGATCATGTGGCGAGATTTCCGCACCAGGACTCAGGGGAGCCAGGATGGGTGGTGAGAGGGAGCCAGAGGCCCGGGCCACCTCAGCTTCAAAGTGCTGCAGGAAGAGCTCGGCAAAACGGCGGGAGAAGGCGGCCTCAGCCCCGGGCCCTGCATATTGGGGGTGGGAGGCCAGGTAGAGGCGAAAACGGCGGGCAAAATCCAGGGCAGCAGCCCGGGCATGGGACTCACAGAACTCCCGCCAACTAGGAGGAGGGGGTGGAGGTAGCGGGGGAGGGGAGGGGGAAGCCCCATCCTCTGGGGAAGGGGCACCATTCATGATGGTCCCCAGGAGGTGGAGAGGGGGAGCCTAAGGGGAGGGGCAGCAAAGAGGGAAGCGGCCAGAAGACACGGGGTGAGCGGCAGCAGCTGCAGAAGGAAGAGAGAGGCACACACATGGGGTCACTGCTGAGGCGGGACTGGGGGAAGAGTCCCACCCAAGCCAGAGACTCCCTACTCTGGTTAAGATTCCTCAGAGAGCCCAACACCTCCGTTCCCTCTCCCAGATCCCCACACCCCACAAAGCCCAGTCAACTCGCCCTCCAGTGTCTAGCCTGCATCAATCCTCCTGCCTTCGCGACCACTCTCCCTGGCTTTGGATCCAGGAGGGCAGAGGGCTGAGGGTACCTTCCTCCAAAAACTGTTTTTCCAGATCACCTCCCTTCTCTAAGATGGGCCCTCCAATTTTTTTTTTTTGAGTTGGAGTCTCACTCTGTCACCCAGACTGGAGTGCCGTGGCCGCTCCCAGCCACTGCGGCCTCGACCTGCTGGGCGCCGGCGATCCTTCCGCCTCAGCCTTCCGAGTAGCCGGAATTACAGGCGCGCGCTACCACGCCCGGCTAATTTTTTTTATTTATTGTAGAGATGAGGTCTCGCCTGCCCAGGCGGGTCTCGAACCCACGGGCTCAGGCAATCCACTCACATCAGCCTCCCAAAGGCGCGGGATTACAGGCTGAGCCACCAAGCCCGGCTGGGCCCTCCAATATTTATTACACATTCCCATGTGCCATTCTAGAGCTGTCCATGTGGTCATCTTACCTTTCCCTGTAAGAGGTTTTAATAACCTCTCTAATAGATGAGGAGATCGAAGCTCAGAAAAGTTTCAGAACTCCAAGTCTACTGTTTTCCCCATGCAGTCTTTGTCCCCTGGGACCAGCTAGACCATCCCAGCTCAGTCAGAGGGGGACTGGGACTATAGAGCTTGGAGACTCTGCCTCATGCACCTTATGGTCCAGCTCTTCAGAGGGAGGCTAGTCATTAAGGAGGACGGATGGATTGAAACAGCAACTGTCTTGAAAGCTGACCCCAGAGTCCAGCACCCAGGCATGGTGTGAAGGAAACTTGGAAAGACTACAGCCTATTTCTTTGGTGCCCCTTCAGTCTGGGGCCCAGAGGCATTGGCACCAGAGGAGAGACCGTGGGTTGGGTCTGGCCACAATATAAATAAAACAGCCCAGGGAGCTAGGGCACTAGGATTTCTCACCTCCCTCTTCTCTCACTGGGGAGTATGCCCTAAAGGCTGGTTAGCCTGCTGGTTGAGGCCATGGATTCTGGAGTCAGACTAGGGATGAAACCCTAGCTCGGCCACCTACTAGCTGTGTGATCCTGAACAAATTCCATATTCTCTCTGTGCCTTGGTTTTTGTTACCCGTTAACCAGAGCTAATGATCCCTACTCTCTAGATCTGTCAGGAGAATTAAATGGAATGGAATATATCAGTACTTGACACAAAGTAAGCACACAATAAATGCCTGCCATTATTACTATCTTCATAAGGAGAACAGTATCATGGTTTGGATTTTCTAAGAGAAAGGAAGAGCCTTTCCAAGACTTTACAACTAGAAAGTGGCAGAACAGGGTGTGGAATTCACAACCCAAAGTTCTTTTGTTAGTGCTCCTCCCCCACGCTATATGCTAAGGTGATGGTGACGGGGCCCAGGACTGGAGCCAGGGCAGTTCAGGAAAGTCTCCTCAAATCCTCAGCGACCTTAGACTCCTGCTCAAACCCACAGGCAGGCTGTAGGTCAGCAATCCCTCCCCTTGCTCCTTGGCCTAGGCATTACACACTTAGATGGCACCAACCACAGGGACAACTCCAAACCAACAAGAAGCAGCCAGGAGATGCAGGAGTCGTGGAGCACGAGGGAACCGAGCCAAGAGGTGCAGACACAGCAGAGACCAATCTCCAGCCAGAGGCCACCTCAGCTCACACTGGCCCACCCACCCTCTGCACCATAGACAGACCCAGCCCCCTTCAGGCCCGCTGACCCTGCGGTTCCTGAGCTGGTGACTCAGTTTCTCTTCTGCCAAGCAGGACTCAGACACATTTTCCCGATGCACCTGCCTCTTGGCTCAGTTCTGATATTTCCCGAAGGGCGGGTGGTGGAGGGTGCAGGCTCCGCTCCTGGCTCGGACCCTCCGGGCCCAGTAGTCAATCCACTCCGAACCGACCCCCTGGACACCCCCCACCCGCCCATTCCCCGGGGCCGCAGCCTCCGCGGGACCAGCCCTGTCTGCTGCACTCTCCAGGGGGCCAAGCGCCCCTCCTGCCCCCGACCTTCCACGCCCACCCCCACCCACGGCTCCCCTCGGGCGCCGGGGCCGGGTCGCGGAGAGGGACGAGACACTTGAAGAGGGGGGTTCCGGTTCCGGTCCCACCTGCATCTCGGTCCCCGCGGTTAGCTCCGGCGGCGGCGGCGGCAGCTCCCGCTCCCTGCGCCCCCCCCCACCACCACTCCGCGACGAGCACCCAGCCCGGTTCTGCGCAGGCGCTGGGACCCCTTTTCCCGTCGCCAAAGGAAGCGACCATAGAGAAGAGCGGCGAGAGGGAAGGGCACCTTTATACTTACTTCCGCCATCCTCCTACTCTGCGCGGACTTCTCGACTACAGACCGTGGCAGTATCATAGGACGTCAGTGACGTCTCCGGTAGTACCTAATGGGACCACAGACACAGCCGTGGAAAGGGATTGGATCCCATCAGGGTGTCCTCCCGGAGGAAATTCGGGACAAAGGGAAATGTCAGCCATAGGAGAGCCACCTCAGGGGATAGAGTCCCGGGGCCCTGCTGAGGGCTAGAGTAGTCGCCAAGTACCGGAAACCAGAGAGATGATGAGGCTTTTTGAAGCGTTCGCTGTATCCTAGAGCGCCTGGCCCAGCCGCTGAAGGGAACGCGGACACCGCCCCCAAGGAGCTGGGCGAGGGAAAAAGCGGGTGACCTTGGGAGGCGCCGCGGGGAGGCGGAGCCTGAACTTAACGACCTTGGTTTCTCTGAGGAAAGAGGCAGGCGGTCGAAGTCCCCTCTCCGAGACGGGAAATACAGATGGGGGGCAAAGTAATGAAGCCAGTTTTGGACGTGCGTGTGGGGCATAAGGAAGTAGGTGGAGACGCAGCCTGGAACTCGAGACAAATAAAGGCCAGTTATAGAAATTGAGAACAATTAAGGTATAGAGGGTTAGTGGAATTCTTGAACACAGTGAGATCCTCTATCAATCCAGTTTCTCACAGACCCAGCTCCAGCTAGCCTAAACAATAAGGGAATCAGAGGCCCGAGTAATTGAAAAGTCCACAGTGGATCAAATTTTTTCCAGACAGCGGAATGAAGGGGCCAAGAGATATCAGGAACCCGCGGTTCCCATCTCTGATTCTGCTTTCCCTATGCACTTGCCTTCACTCTCAAGCAAACTGCCCCTTCTTTGTGACAAGACGGCTTTCCATAGCTCCAAATTTAAGTCTTAGTAGCTTGGCAACTCTAGTAGAAGGAGCATGCCTCTTTTTTGAGATTCACAACATAATTTCCAGAACTCACTAGTTGATTGGATCAAGTGCCCGTCCTGAAACACAGATACAAGTAATCCAAGAGACAGAGATAGGTAAATACCCTGACTTATGTAGGAATGTTTGTTCAAGGCTGAGGCTGCCAGATGGAATTAGAAAAACTTGGTGATGGAAGGGCTGGTTCTGACCTAGCCAGTCTTAGTCCCCCAGCGCTAACCAAACTAACATCACCTCGGGAATGGCCTCTGTTAAGGTCTTCACCAGCTTTGTTCATCCCTCTTCCCAGTTCAGAGGAAGATGTCAGTGAAAAGAACCCTACTCCTGTGGTCTACACCACCCCCAGCCCCTATACTCTTACACACCCTTTCACTGTACTTGGCCAATCATTGTCTGGGAGAGAAAGACAGTTGAAGAAATACAGAAAGGCAAGGGGCTGGCGATGATGAGTTAGACTTGGAAGTGTGTCTAAGCTGTCCAGTAAAATTTTCTGTGATGACTGAAATGTTCTGCATTAGCCACATATGGCTATTAAGCACTTCAGATGTGGGCCAGCATGACTAAAGAACTAAGTTTTAATTAATGTGAAGGGCTTAATAGACACATGTGGCTAGTGGCTACACAGCACAGGTGTCCTTGGACAACTAGGTGGAGCTGGCCAGCAGAGATGAATTAGTAGTGTGAGCTGCACAAAGCAGTTTGGTGGCGGGCAGCCATGAGTAGTGGTTGAAACTGTCAACTTTTTTTTTTTTTTTTAATTGAAGTCTCACTCTGTTGCCCAAGCTGGAGTGCAATGGCACACTCACTCCTACTGCAGCCTCGACCTGCTGGGCTCAAGTGATCCTTCTGCCTCAGCCTTCTAAGTAGCTGGAACCACGGGCATGCGCCACCACACCCGGCTAATTTTTTGATTTATTGAGACTCCTGCAAGAAACAAAACAAAACAACAAAAAATGTCTAGAGCAGTGGTAAAACGTGGCTAAACAGTTTTTGAACTCGTCAATTTTGATGCCTTTTAGTGCTTTTTTTCTTTTTTTTATTTGAGTTGTAGTCCCCCTCTGTCGCCTGGACTGTTGCTCATGACCACCCCAGTGTCAAGCTGCTGGGCTCTGGTGATCCTTCCGCCTCAGCCTTCCAAGTAGCCGGAACTACAGGCACGCGCTACCATGCCTGGCTAATTTAAAAAAAAAATTTATTGTAGAGTCAAGGTCTCACCAAGTTGCCCAGGCTGGTCTTGAACCCGCAGGCTCAGACAATCCACTTGCCTCAGCTTCACAAAGTGCTGGGATTACAGGCTGAGCCACCAAGTCAGGCCTAGTGCTTCTGCTGTTTTTTGTTTCCCCTCTTCCACATCAGCAAAATATTTCCCTTTGAGGACTTTTTCATCCAGGGAAACAAAAAAAAAAGTCACCTGGGGCAAGATCAGGTGATAGGGTAGAGCACTGTTGAACACTCAGTGCTCAGAAATCACACATCATGAAAAGGGCAAATGCGTTGAAAGAATCTCCAAAAAAAATTCACTGAAGCTGAACACAGCCTTTCACAACACTAGCTTGAACACTGATGCCAATGGGCTCCTAGAACACATACCTAGTGGGGAATCCTGTATTACATGAGGTCTGCTCACCATAAAATAATTCCATTTTTGGAAGGGTTCCCCAACATATATTACCTGGGCAATCTCACTAAAGTTGATGGTTTTTTCTGGGCATGGTGGCTCCAGCCTGTAATCCCAGCATTTTGGGAGGCAGAGGTGAGGATTGCCTGAGTCCAGGGGTTCCAGACCAGCCTGGGCAACTTGGCGAGACCTCATCCCTGCAATAAATCGAAAGAATTAGCCAGACATGGTGGCATACACCTGTGGTTCCAGCTACTTGGAAAGATGAGATGGAAGGATCGCCTGAGCCCAACAGGTTGAGGCTGCGGTGACTGTGAGTATGCCACTGCACTCCAGCCTGAGCAACAGAGTGAGACTCCTGCAAGAAACAAAACAAAACAAAAAAATGTCTAGAGCAATAGTAAAAAAATAAGTGTATTGCATCAAGCAGAGAGTACTTTCAAGGCAACTAAAGTTTAAACATGTAAGAATGAAGACACAATTGTTTATAAATAAATCCCATGTTTTTTGAGGTACCCCTTTGCATGTGGAAAGAAGAGGGTTTAGGGCCTAGTTCTGAGGAACAATCAACATTTAACAGGTAGGCAAAGAAAGAGAAGTAGAAAGAGCTGAGATGAGCTGGGTGCAGTGGCTCATGCCTGTCATCCCAGCACTTTGGGAGGTGGCAGCAAGAGGACTGCCTGAGCCCAGGGATTCAAGACCAGCCTGGGCAACTTGGTGAGACCTCATCTCAACCCTAAAATAAAAAATTAGCTGGGCATGGTTGCATCTGCCTGTAGTTCTGGCTACTTGGAAGGCTGAGGTGGGAAGGATCGCCGGAGCACAGCAGGTTGACACTGGGGTGGCCATGAGCGTGCCATTGCACTCCAGCCTGGGCAACAGAGTGAGACTCCAACTTAAGAAGAAGCACTAAAAGGCATCAAAATTGACAAGTTCAAAAACTGTTTAGCCAGGTGTGGTGGCTCATGCCTGTAATCCCAGCACTTTGGGAGGCAGCAGCAAGAGGACTGCCTGAGCCCAGGGGTTTGAGACCAGCCTGGGCAACTTGGCAAGACCTCATCTCTACAATAAATCAAAAAAATTAGCCAGGCATGGTGGCACCTGTGGTTCCAGCTACTTAGAAAGTTGAGGCAGAAGGATCACCTGAACCCAGCAGGTTGAGGCTGCAATGATTGTGACAGTGAGACTGCAACTAAAAAAAAAAAAAAAAGAATGTTTTGGGTCAGGATTCTTAGAAACACCTGAGGTGAGGATTCGTGTGCAAGTGATTTGTTAAGAAGGTACCACCAGAAGAAACCAGAAAGAGTGTGAGAGAAGCAATAGAGAGAAGGGGAGGAAGCAAAGCATGTGAGTAGTGTTAGGCAGAGTTTAGTTTGATCCCATAGGATGTAAGCATACCTCAGATTTGTCTAGAAACAAGGGAGTTGGGCCTTTCATATACTAACATCCCTCACCCATTGACCAAGGAGGACTCCTACCCCCAGGAGATGTCAGTTCCCAGGCACTTCCATCAAGGCAAAGCCTTCCAGTACCCTGAGAGTATGCCTTTAAAAATCTGGAAGTTCTGTTGGAAGATAAACTACATGCCACCCACCAAGGAACGTGGGAGTATAGGATGTGTGTGCTGGGGGAAATGCACTGACACATACACAAATGACAAAAGGATCCACAAAGATCAAGGCTGGACATTGCCATTGTTTCCTTCAGAAGACACCGGTAACTACGATTGCTGAGAAATCTTGGTGAAAGTAATTTCAGGAAAGTGATGGTAGTGAAGCCAAATGGTAGTGGTTTGAGAAGTGCATGGAAGGTAAAGAAGTGGGAGGAGGAATGTGGACAGCTGTTCTAGAGTTTGGCTGAAAGGAAAGAGAGATGGAAACTTGCCGTTTGAGAAGACGGAAAGGTTTCCTTTTTGTTTGTTTTTGTTGTTGTTGAGTTGGAGTCTCACTGTAGTCCAGGGTGGCGTGCAGTGGTATGATCAGGGCTCACCACAGCCTTGACCTCCTGGGTTTAAGTAATCCTTCTGCCTTAGTCTTCTGAGTAGTTGGGACTACAGGTGTGTGCCATCATGCCTGACTAATTTTTCGATTTTTTTTTTTTGTAGTGATGGGGTACTGCTATTTCATCTAAGCTGGTCTTGAGCTCCAGGGCTCAAGCAGTCCTCCCACATTGGCCTTCCAAAGTGCTGAGATTCCAGGCATGAATCACTTGTCTA